TAAAATAAACTCCCAGAATCGAGGATTGCTATCAAAATTATACTCATATCAAGATTTCTTTGTTTTTTGATGGTTCTGGAGATTGAACTCAGGGCCTCAGGTTTGCTAGGTAAGCACTGTACCACTTGAGCCACACCCTGGTCCAAGGTCTTTTGGGTACTAAATGTTTTCATAACACTCTTGAGGCTGCAGCAAATCTACCAGTTTCAGACAGACCCCAAATTTGCACCAACAAAGAAAACTTCAAGTTCTTGGCCCTTCAACACATACATCACCTTTTCTCAGGACCAGAGTGGTAAGAAGTCTCATTTACTTAATTGCAGGAGAACGCTCTTCTTTTCTTTTATTTACTTTTTGCTTTTCTTCAGTACTTGGGTTTGAACTCAGGGCCTTGAGCTTGCAAGGAAGATGTGCTAGTACTTGAGCCACGCTTTCAGCCCTTTTCTTTCTTTTTCTTTTTTTTGTTTTGTGGTACTGGGGTTTGAACTCAGATCTACACCTTGAGCTATTCCAACAACCCTTTTTTTGGTGATTTTTTTTTTTTTTTTTTTAAGATAGGGTCTCACGAACTATTTTTGTGGGCTGGCTTCAAACCGTGATCCTTCTGCTCTCTGCCTCCTGAGTAGCTAGGATTACAGGCGTGAGCCACGGGTGCCTGGCTCTTCTTTCCTTTTAAAAGGAAGGGAAATTGACAACAATAGCTGCTTGAAAAGACAATTGAAAAATAAGGCTAATTTTCCCATTTCTTCCTCATTTGTGGAATAAACCATTTGGTAACGGACGAGTGGTCTGATACTAGGGTCCCAGCTGAAGCCAGTTTAGTAATTTCGCTCTCCTGTTCTACGTTTTGTCACATAAGGAAAGGAAGAGTAAGTACTGCTACGATCTCAAAAGTGCAGACCTTCTGATATGACAGGAAGAGGTGAGCACATGCACCCTGGCACGTATGGTTTGAGACTCATAGCTATTTCTGTAATTCATCGTGAGTTCGTGTAAGATACTCACGCTCTCTGCCAATGATGACCGACTCTGTGACGTGGGGATCTTTATTTCCACTTTTGATGTCTCTATGTTTCTTGGAGATTTTTAGTCCACCAACCATTTGCTGTATTTGAAATTTAAAAATGGAATGAAATATTCTGTTTCTATCTAGGAACTTGGTTAAAAAATTCAACAGGGCTATTTCTCCTGATAACCTGGATATTTAACATTCTTTTTCAGGTTTGTTAAAGTCTATGTTAAGAGGAACTTGGAGTTAGAATTTTCTTGATATAATTTATGTTTGTTTGAATCCTTCTCATAAATCACACACCTGGGCTCTGTCACTACACTTTGAGATTTTCCTTCTGTCCTTCAAAATATGAACTCCCACAACTGCAAACAAACCCTTTGGTCTATGTCCTTTGGGGACATAGACCAGCACTGTAAGTTAATCAACTTATTTTTCTTAATGTCATTTTTCTTTTTTGTTGGGACTGGGGTTTGAACTCAGGGCTTTGTGCTTGCAAAGCAGTTGCTCTACCGCTTAAGCCATGCCTGCCCCTCTTCTTTTTTAAGCAATTTTCTTTAACAAAGTGTTTCTTCTTTGCTATTTCAAAACCCTGATTTCAGACTTTTGCTGGGAATTTTTCCAGACTGAAGGCCCCAACTGGCAGAATGTCATAGGGTTCCCGCTAAATTTCACCCAATGCATCAGACCCTAACAACTGGAAGTGTTAGTATTGAGGACAAATTAATAGACAAATATAAATAAAGATGTGTTTCCTAGGAAACACACCTCACAAAATCCTACACCCCACCAATTCTACACCTCACAAAAACTCACATCCCACCAAGCCCCACCCTCTCCAGAAAGACCCAACAGAACCCAGACCTCTCTTCAATCATGAGACCCTCTCGTTAATTGTTACACAAATCCTTTCACCAGGTGTGCCGTAACAGGATTGGGATTGGGATTGGGTTTACAAAAGACAACAAGGACTTTGAGGTCCTCTCATTAAGTGTAGTAAAAGCAATAATGACCTTGTCACTCTGAGATATTGGCCCTTACCGATCTGAAGGCTAGCCAGGGCGACTCTCTGCTGTCCTCACTGACATGTCATTTTCTGAGTCCTCTATCTGGCCTGTGTCTCTACAGGTGTTTGAGTGACAGGTGAAAACATTAGTGAGTGGTGCCTCAAAAAGAAAAGAACAACTCTTGCTGGATTAATTTCTAGTCTGTAGATGGCGCTTGGGCTGTGCTTCCATCTGACTTAGGGCTCTGGCTTTTTCATGTCCTGGGGTGTGTGAAGTCCAGGGGACCTGAAGTGACTACTTGACAGAGTCTCGATCTGTCCATAGGGCGGAGGGATCAGCCTCCGGGGTAACATGAAGCTCACTCTTGGCACTTGGTCAGAAACTTAGTCTTCGTCCATTAATACTCTGTGTATCAGGCATTAAAGCCCAAAGGTAACCAATTTGACCAAATCAGCTGGACTGTTTTCCCAAAGAGTCAGTTAGCTGCTAATTGCTGGCAGTAATCATCAAACTACCAGATTTAAAGTATGAACATGCACGAGAGTGTGGGGGCTGTTCTGAATGAATTCTGCACTCTTTTCTGCTCCCATATCCACTCAGCAAGGAATTTTTTTTGGGGGGGGGCTGTATTAGGGTTTGAACTCAGGGCCTTGCACTTCCTAGGCAGGTGCTCTACACTTGAGCCACTCTACTAACCCTTTTTGCATTGGTCATTTTTCAGATAGAGTCTCGCTTTATGCTTGGGTCATCCTGGACTGGGACTCTCCCATTTGTGCTTCCTGGAATAGCTGGGATGACAGGTGCCACCACCCCCAGCCATTGGTTAAAATGGGGATCTCTCACACTTTTTGCCTGGGCTGACCTCCGACCTTGAGCCTAGGATGTCCAGCATCATTTTCATTTTTGTTTTAAGTATCAAATTAAAGGAAAGTACTATGACCAAGCACAAAAAATTATAATAGATGTGAAACCTTTGTCCTTGAGTACAGAGGAGTAACAAGACATTTACCTAAATGTATACTGTTGAATGTATAAAAGAACTTCAGCAGGTGGTAAAAGTGACATTTTCCAGAAAAGAGCTGTAAGCAAACAGCTATAGAAATGTGGCCTCTGACCACGTTAAAGGGTTCCTGAAAGAAAGCGCAGATACCAACACCTTGAAAGAAGCTTCTGCAGCCACCACGTATCCCTCTGGTTTCACAGCAGGGTGAAAGAAAGGAAGAAAAACCTCCTGGCCAATTTAAAGTTTACACTTTGTAGGCAAAGGTCTGTTAAGAAAAAAATTGTAAGAGGGACAATGGGAGAGAAAAGGTTGAAATTAATAATTAAATCTGTACAGGGCTGGAGCTGGAGCTCAGTGGTACAACACTCGCCTAGTGTGTGTGAGGCCCTGAGTTTGATCCCCAGAACTGAAAAATAAATGTTTTAAAAAAAACTTCTACGAAAGTTCTGTGATGCGTTTTAATTAGTTTGTTTACTTTTTGCTTTTTGAGATGGGGTCTCACTATGTAGCCCAGGCTGGCTTCCAACTCAAGGACTTCCTACCTCAGCCTTTCAAGTGCTGGGATTACAGGTGTGTGCTACCACGTGGCTTCTATGATGAGTTTCTAATTGCTTGCCTGAGCTTATATTAAAGAATTGAGGAATTATCATCTTTAAAAATAACCCATTTCAAGCCAGGTGCTGGTGGCTCATGCCTATAATCCTAGCTACTTGGGAGGTTGAGATCGGGAGAATGAGGTTTGAGGCCAGCCCCGGTAAATAGTCTTTGAGACTCCATTTCCAAAATAACCACAGCAAAATGGACTGGAGGTGTGACTTAAGTGGTAGAATGCCTCCTTTGCAAGCATGAAGCCCTGAGTACCACAAACAAACAAAAATTTAAAAAAAATAAAAATCCCACTTCACAGAAAAAAGGTTCAGGTCACATTCCAGTCCCTGTGGTCACCTGCTGGCAGTCATCCCAGGTTTAGGAAGCTTTGGCCTGTTGCCAGTGTCAGGACTGTAGTCTCCCGTGTCATGGTGCTGTGCCCTGCAGACTCCTATAACTGCTCCAGCTAAGTTTGTTTCTGTGTTACCCAATCAATGGGCCTCCAAAGCCACTTCCAGGGGTTTGAATTCCTCTAACTTCTTGGGAAACTCACATGTCCACTTTTCTTCTGAAGCTAACATGGATTAAAAGACAGGGATGGGAAGTTGGGCCAGTGCAACCCATCTCTTCTTAAAAGAGGACACTCCTCCTGCCTGTCTCAAGAGGGCATCCTCACACCAGGGGTAAAAGTAAAAAATGGTGGGAATTCTGGTCCTGCAGCAGTGTAAAGATATCACAGGAAGAGCCCAATACGTCAAAGCTAAGCTCGGGTGTAGAGTTCTAGGCTCCTGCACGTGCCCATGTGTGTCTGGGTGCTTACTCAGCAATGGGATGACTTTGGAGAGCTTTGCTGAATACTTTATTCAGCACTGTCATGAGGAGAGCGAGGGTGCTGAGATGTGGATAAAGTCAAAGAAGCAGCCAGGTATCTGCAGGATCCCAAGAAACCATGACTACTGGGAGAGGTAGCTGAATGCAGGGGAGCACTGGAAAAACTAACAGGCCACCCACAGAGCCCTCTTTGTGTGACTTCACCGAGATGCACTACAGTACTTGAGTGATCAGGTGATCTCAGCAAATCGGGTGACCTGTAATGAACTTATGCAGGATAGGGCCCCTGAATCTGCCCTGAATCTAAGTGTAACACTGAGATAAGCACACCCTGGGCCCAGCACACTGCAGCCTGGCTGTCCTGCAGCCACCAGGGTCACCTTCTGGTCACTGAACAGTGCCTTTATGTTGAGGTTACTTTTGCCTTTTGTGTAAGTTGTAAAAAAACAAAAAACAAACAAACAAAATAACCCACTTAAATTCTTCCCTTTGTATCATTCCTTTGAATGAAATAGTTGGGTATGCCCCAGAACAAAGCAAAGCAGGATGAAAGTGAGGGTACCTGCCATCGAAGAAGAAGAACTTCCCACGCCCATTCTTTTCTCCGTGGACAAAGGTGCCCTCGAATCTGTCTGTGGAGGAGTAGGTGACTGTGCAGAGCCCATGGGGCAATCCATCGTCGTCCAAGTGCCCTGGGGAAAGGGAACCGAGGAGACCTTACCACGGGCTGCACTTTCTGCCCACCCAGATTGCCCCTGCCAGCCAAGTCCCTGGGCGCCTCTTCCTGGCAAGGGGCGCACAAAGGGCAAAGCTTTGCCACCTTGCCCACACAGTAACCAGTAACCTTGATCATCGTTGACCAACACTTTGTGAACCAGCTCCCAGAGCATGAAGTGCTCTTTGGTTGCATTTTACCTGGGGCTGAGAGTTAGTATCTGTTTTTTTTTTTTTTTTTTTTTGGTGGGACTGGGGTTTGAACTCAGGTCTTCATGCTTGCAAAGCAGGTGATTTGAACCACTCCTGTGGTTCTGCTTGAACCACTCTTCCAGTCCAGTATCAGTAATATCATCTGTAGTGCTGTGTTGGTTACCATTTGCCAAGTTGGGCAGGAAACCTGGTGGTTGAGGACAATGGTTTAGATGTTGATAAGGAATCACAGCCTGCACTGCTGAGTTAACAGCAAGGTCCTGCTGATGCATCGCCCCTAGAGCTCACAGAAAAGAACAGCCCTAGTGTGACCATCCAAAACCAAAGCCTACCCCCACCTGACATGTGGGAGGAACTGATGACACACAGCCCAGTCTCAGAGTTAATGACCACCCCTCTGTCTGTGGACACCAATTAAAGCTTGGTGGATCTTGGCACCTCCAGCACAGAGCTCCTTTTTTTTTTTTTTGCAGTACTAGAGTTTAAACTCAGAACCTACACCTTGAGCCACTCCACCAGCCCTTTTTTTGTGATGGTTTTTTTTTGAGATAGGGTGTCGGGAACTATTTGCTGGGGGAAGCTTCAAACCATGAGCCACTGGTGCCCGGCCAGAGATCCTTCTTGAGCCTGCCCAGTCTCCTGTATAATGGTACATTGTTGCTCTGCTTTCGTTTTGCTTTATGTTAGTAAACCTACTCTTGCTTAGGTCTCTGAGTCCATCTTTAAATTCTTTCTCCAAAGAAGAACAAGAACTTTCTGGCCCCTGGACCAGAATCCTGTGATATATTTTGGCAAGCCAAGCCAGGAGACTTCAGGAGACCCCTTACTCAGGAGAAGGTGACTTTATTTTTCTCTGATTCTGGTAAGCCAACCTGATTCCTTATCAATTTGGAGGGGGGAGACCTCCTTTTTAGTTTTACTTTCTCTTTCTGGACTGTTATCCTACAAAACTTGCACAGCAGTGGAGGCTCACTCTTCCTTTCTCTTGTGGCTAAAAGACCAAATAATTATCCATCCACTTGCCTTTTGTATCCTAAGCTGCAACTACAACGTTAACTTGTAAACATCCTGGTGTCTTTGTGTGTTTTTTCTCCTTTCTTCCTTCTTGCTCGTTCTGACAGTTGTGTTGTTCAAGGTCGTTTGAAGGTTTGTTAGCTTAGCCAGCCCTAGCTGGAATATAACATTCTGTGACTCTTAGATCAAAAGGGGGGAAATGTGAAAGGTACCCTTTCAAACATCTAAGCAGCAATGAAGTTTGCATAATACCTGCATTACATGTGGACAGGTGACAAGGTAAAAAGGAACCAGTAAGTAGGAGATGAGGAGATCCCAAAAAGGTTATAAAGAAGAAAAATGTTTTGGAGATAAAAAATGATTTTGTGTGTAAATAAGGCTTTATCCTAAAAGCAAAAAATTGTTCCAAAATGGAAAGAGGAAGGCAGGAGCAAAGCCAGAAGACTGAAAGCATCTCACCTGGATTGTGTCAGGGTGTGTGCTGAGATAAAATTGATAGGATATTGCAAGGTAGCAAAGAGATTGAGAAAGTGAAAGGACATTCTCTGGAATGGGTTTTTTTCATGGTAAAATAAGGTTTTGTCTTAAAGTAAAGGGTTGTTTCAAAATGGAAACAGGTAATCAGGAGAAAGCCAGAAGGGTAAACATATAATAACAGATAAGGGTAACAGATAAAAAGCCAGAAGGGTAAACATGTTGAAGAAGGATTGTGATAGGGTTTATGGTGAGAGATATAACTGATAAAAAACCCAATACTGGCCGGGTGTTGGAGGCTCAAGTCTGTAATCCTAGCTACTTAGGAGGCAGAGATCAGGAGGATTGCAGTTCAAGGCCAGCCTGGGCAAGTGGTTCGTGAGACCCTATCTCAAACAAACAAAACAACTCATCACAGAAAAAGGGCTGGTAGAGTGGCTCAAGTGGTAGAACACCTGCCTAGCAAGCATGAAACCCTAAGTTAAAACCTCACTGTTGCAAAAAGCAAACAAAACAAAAAACCCAATGCTGTCTTGATAAAATTTATTAAAAAATTCTTAAACATCAATAAAGCTGGGACCCAAAAAAGTGTGTCATTGATCTTCACTCTGAGAGAGCCCGCTCTCCTCTAAGGGAGAATATATCCTTACTTGCCCTAATTAACTTTGCTATTACTTCCACTGAATTTCAAGCCTTGCTTGAAATCTCTCACAGGAACCCAAAAACCTAAACTCCTGGTAACAACAGCACTTCACATATTTGCAGTGAATTCTTCTTTCCCCCATCCCCAACTTATCCCCACTCCCCGTTTCTCATGCTTAACTGAAATGTGGTTCAGATTACACCATGCTACAGTCTATTGCCAGATATGTCTTTGCAATAAATATCTAATTCTTGCAATTTGCAAGTATGTAGCATGATTTTATGTATCATTTTAGAGTATGGTGTGGAACATTGGTAGTCAGTCTGAAAGCCCCACAGTTATATGTTAAACTCAGTTAATATGTGACAGCCACTTGCTAGAGCCACCCTAATATTTACACACCTCATTGGCTGACAGTCCTTCCAAGCTTTGGCTTAACCTTAACCTTATGCTTCACTTTACAAAGTCGTTCAGCTTTGACTGTTTAGTAACAACCTTTTCATATATACCTCCTACCATTGAGTGTCACAGGGCTTGTAATTTAACTGGAGCCAGAAGTGTTCACGTGGCCATGTAAGTAGTCATCTTGACACTCAGCAAGTCAATCCACTGACCTTGGTTCTTCCCGGGCCACAGAGTGAATTCCTGATGCAGACAATGTTTAGGTTCTTTCTTATTATCTGACTATTTCACACACCCTAGGAGTCACCTAGACAGTGTTTCCCCAATCTTTCAGGTGAGTGGACTGTGCAAAGGTGGGTGAAGTAAGGCAGTAGTTGCACTACCAGATTTTTCCTGGGTTAATAACCTGGGTCACAGATGAAAAGGGGATGAAAACATTAAATACTATGCAATTCAGGGATATTAGACACTAAAATGTGGCTTCCAGATGGCTCCCAGACAGAAAACACAAACCACACCACCACAATGAATGCTTTAATGTCCTGAAGTGACCTCTTATAACATGATAAAGGAATAATATTGGCCTGGGGGTGGAGCTTGGTGACAGGGTGCTTGTCTAGCATGTGCCAGGCCCTGGGTTCCTTCCCCAGCACCAACACCACAAAAGAAAACATTTCCAAGAATATTATCCATGGGAAGAGATGGTAAGTAAGTAGTCTTATAAAGAATTAAAATGCTTTTTATTTGTATTATTGATCATGGAAACATAAAATAACAGTAACCAAATATAATGCTTAATTGCTATAGCTGACTCTGTACAGGAATGGCTCACCTAGAACACAGTACAGTAAGACATGGTTATTTAAATACACACATAAGTATAATCATTCCTTTGGAAACAAACTTTTTCTACAAAGGCCAAGAAATTAATGGCTAGGAAGGACCAGGCAACAATGGCTCTCTTTTCATATAAGAACCAATGGTACATGATAAAACTTGATGACACAAGTCATATGAAGTGATTTGGACAATTATTTCCTAAATAGCTACTGATGATGATTTTCTCACTGAAATAGATTAAATTGACATTTTTTTCCTGTTTATAAAAACCACTCAGTGTAGAGGTAAAAGCTTTCCTTTATGAAATGTTCTTGGGATTAAATTGAATTTACCCATCAATTTTCCTATGAAGACACTGTCCTACTTTTGTTTCAGGTATAACTCTCAGAATAACCAGGTTAGCCTCAAATGAGAACATCTACTAATTTGCTGAAAATGTTTTCATCACGGAAAACACTTCACTTATTTCAGACTTTTAAAGTTAATAAATTTGTTGTTCACTTTAGATCAAGAGAAATATGATAAATATGACCACTAAGGAACAAAATTGCCCTGTAAATTCATCCCATCTTCCCTCCACCTGCCCTATTTATGGGTAAAACACTGAAGGCATGCCTCAGCATTGCAACTTGTATATGAGAGATAACTGCAGGTGTCATGTCATACACTAAAGGCACTTCAAGGTCAACACCCATCCCAACAGAGATGATAACAAAAATCTCAACCTTGCTTCATCAAGGATCCAAGATTTTCAAGAATGGCAATGTGACTTCCTGGCAGTCTCAAGGTTTGTGGGTCACCGGAGCTATCAGAACACAGCAGAATTCCTTCTTGACTTGCTTTACTTCCCTTGCATACTTAGCATTAAAACCAGAAATCAGAGTTAGGGATCATTCAAGACTTCAACCTGAATATCTGGTAGCCCAGAGTAGTTTTCCAGGCAGTAGGCAGCTGCTTAGAATCTAAATATCTGAAACACAAAACAGTACAAAAAAACCAACCCCAACTAAAAGAGTAACAACCAAGAGACTTTCCAAACAAAGAAAGGTAGGGAAGAGATTGGTTGCTATGCCGCCACTCCACATCCCTTCCTCCCTCCCTACCTCTCTCTCCCTCTCTGGAGGTACTGGGGTTTGAACTCAGGGTGCCATGCCCCAGCCTTCCAACATTGGTACTACAAAAGATTCTGGCATAGTTCAAATGCTGTGTGTACAGTAAGATCCTGTGATTTTGTCACGACAGTGACAGCCAATTTAATGGAGAGAGAGAGAGACTGATATACAAAGAAGAAAAATGGTTTGGGTAGTTGTTACTGCCTGGCATAGGTTCAGATCTTTCCTGCTATTATTTTAAACTTCACAACAATGTCCTCAATTTCCGTGTCACAGACAGGGCCCGATGTCACGTGCCTTGCCCAAGAGGCAACGTTAACCACTCTGAATGTGCTGATAGATGTTAAAAGCTGTTTCCCAAGCCCATCAATCCACTTTCTGTCTAGAGGAGCACAAACGTGTGGACACCTTTCTCTGTGCTGATGGTGGAACGAGGCACCTCTAAAAGCCAGCATGGCCTGGGCCTTGGCAGATAAGTGGAAGAAAGCTTTGTGGCCAAAATAATTCTCATAGAACTGTGTGTAAAATGAAAATTTTCAGCAGCATGTCAGGGTGCAAATGCCTGTCTCCTCCCCGTTAGCCTAACTCAAAGAGAAACACGAGGCCTCCAGCTCTGATGGAGGTCAGCCTGTAAAATGCACCAAGTCAGCCAGCGGCCTTCCAGGCCAGCTCCCACTACACAGTGGGTGGGCACCAGGCCCAAACAACTGGGAAAGCGAACTGGAATGGCTGCTCCGTGTATATAACACCTTCCCAGCCAAGGCACAGTCTATCTGTCTGCAGAATGGTTTTAAATATCTACTGGAGTTAGAGAAAGAAAAAGAAAAAGTAACAATTTGCAAGTCTACTTTCTCACTTTGCTCTAAAGATCATTTTCTACCCACTGGATAGAAAGTGAAATTTTTCCCCTGGAGTTACTTCGGAGTGAATTTCTCCCTAATCTGGTAAGAGCCAGGTTCGTCTTGGCCAAGGAAATTCCCTCCAAATCAGACACCACCACTAATGGCCTTGAGCTTAAGAGAAATCTGAGAATGGGGTTGTGTGTGTGTGTATGTGTCCCCAAAACAAAAGGCTCTTACACACATTGTTAGTTTTGTGGCTAGAACACTGCCAAAAGAAAAAATAGTCAAGAACGGCAGGCTTATTAATGCAAAGAATGCACCCTCCTTGTGACATATTCAAGGTGGCTGTCAAACACGTCATCGTTGAGCTCTGGCTCAATGATTAGTTATGAGGGTTGTACTTATTACGAGTGGCACACAGGGAAAGGGTGCCAGGGAGACACTTAGCATGCATTGGTCCTAAGAACGCAGCATAGGCAATCTTACGAAAGACAGGAGGTTAGGATAGCAGGTGGACTGTTCAGGAAACTATCCTTGAGCAGGGGAACACTGGGCTGTCACTTTCATCCATCCTAGTCCCTTGTGCTGGGGACTCCATATTTCCTAGTTTTGAGCGTTTCCAGGCCTGTTTCTTCTGCCCTCCTAACAGCACATCTGGACTGTTGCACACAGTCTCTGAGGTGATTGCTTCACCACTGCTGGTCATCTTCCACACAGAGCTCAGAGCTCGGACCTGTCATTCTAGCTCACAGTGACGGTGGCTTCTAGCACACGGTCTGAACTCTCAGCCTGTGACCCAGCCTCCTGGTCCTGTCCCCCTCCACATTTCCCTTTTGAAGCCTCGTCCTTCAACAGAACCAGAAGAGGAGCATTCTGGATGAGCCTGTGCGGCTCCTTGCCAAGGTTCCCTTCTCTACCCAACTCTTCTGGGAACTCTCACACCAGCTGTTCCTCAAGCTGCAAGCAATTGTGACCTCATTTCAACCAGTGCAATCCATCCATGTGGACAAGGTCTACTTATGTGAGCTGATACCAGAGACTACATTGTTTCATCTTTGTATCTACGGTTAAACAAAGGGACACAGTAACACATATTTCTGTTTCCAAAGGCCTTGAAGAATAATATTAGACTCTCCACTGAACCCACCGGCCTTTGTCAAGAGTGATGGCCAGAGATAGAAGCTCATATTTGTAATCCCAGCTACTCAGGAGACTGAGGAAGACTGGGCTCCACAGCAAGACCCCGTCTCAAAAAAAAAAAAAAACAACAACAAAAAAAACAACAAAAACCAAAACCAACCAAATAAAACAAATCAACACCCAACAACAAAAACAAGGAGACAAAAAACCACTGTGAGAGCTAGCATGTAGCTGTCAAGCCCTCTGAGGCCCCGGGCTTGCTGCCTTCCCAAAGGAGCGGGGCAGACCCAGGTACTTTGAGTGCTCCCTCTGGACACAAGCTCTCCCAGCCCCCACCTCCCTGGGAATTCACCCATCCTGTGTTTGAAGCTTCACCAGGGCTACAATTCCACCCTAATAGAGATCCAACATGTGTATGAGGTAAAACCATTTAAACTCAGTCCTGAAGAAACCAATTTCTTCTCCAGTGTGAATTTCGAAGGCAGAAAAAAAAAAATAAGATGTGTGTTGTAGAGGCTGAATTAAATTCTCTTTTCCCGAATACATGTTTCTGACATACTCTGACCTCCATCAGAGACCACCTCTGTACAGTTACACTGACAAGGAATGATCGTGACATCACATGTAAAAACTGCTTCTCAGCCTGGTCACCAAGTATGTCACGTACCTGTCTGACTCTTCAGAAAGAAAACATGTAGGCAGACAGAGACGGCACGACGGGAGTCTGGCTTGTCCCCCTCCCCACTAAGTATCCTTGGATTAGTTCCCTTCTCTGGAAGATTAGGGCGGCACTTGTGCCATAAGGTCCATGAAGAGCTAAACAATTCTAGAATGACAATAATGGCTACAATCACAAGACTACCGAGAAGAAAGGCTGTGTTGATGCAGAGAGGTAAGTGAGTTGGCACCTAGACGCCAAGCTGTTCAGACTTGTCCCTCCTTTGGAAAAGAGTATAAGCAGTTATACCAGTCTGCCATGAGTGTATTAGAAGTCGCGAAGACTGTCTACTATACCTAGTAGCATGCGCCCTGGGTTCTGTACAAGTCTGAGCCTGGTTTTTTTTGAGATTGGATGTCACTGTGTTGCCCAGGCTGGGCTGGAACTCCTGGGCTCCAGTGATCCTTCTGCCTCAGTCTCCCAAGTAGTGGGGACTAAGGGGAAGTACCACCATGCCTGGCTTTTCTAAGGACTTTTCAAGATTAAAAGTTACTTTAGGGTTGGGGGTGTAGCTCACTGGTGGAATGCTTGCCTAGCATTTGTGAGGCCCTGGGTTTGGCCCCCAGCATCACAAAACAAACAAACGAATAAAAATGATACAAGTTTGTCTACTGTGAAGTACAATGTGTGATCATGTGCCCCAGATTGTCCAACACAGCCAAGGCTTAAGCAAGTTGTCCCACAATGATTATTAATGGTGCCCCTCTTGCTGTAATGATTTAGGGGATGGTTCATATACTCACCTTGCATAGCAACATTCCCTGTTTATATAAAGAAACACCCAGGGACTATTTCAAAACCAGTACAACCCACTTCTAAAGCTCCCGTTCACCTTCTGCAAAGTTGCTGGAGGAACGTGACACCCGCACCTTATGATTCTTCAGTGTCACAGGGGAAGGTGACTTAAGCAGGAGAGTGTATTGGGAGTTTGCAATTCCATTTTTACAAGAAAAAGTAAACCTGGGGAGGGATGAGAGCAAATCTTCACAGTTTGAGAAGAGCATGTTTTTTTTTTTCCTTACTAAGGGAGGTACAAGAAGTCAGGAACTTAAGTTCCTGTGGACCAATTCAGTCAAGGCCTTTGGACTTCCCTAAGTCTTCACATAGCTGTCATTTATGAGAGATGTAAGTTCTGTGAGTTCACAACGCTGTGAAAACTTTCTAAAGTCACACACACACACACACACACACACACAACGTTTTCGCTGGCTTTAAAACTAGAGGAAGAAATAAGTTGAAATTTTTACATTAGATTGGATACTTTTCAGAGAATTCAGAAATATTATTCTACTCATTGAAATCTTCAGGAGCCTGCAAAAGGAGTTGTTTATGAAAGCATAACCACTGATTTCCCCTCTGTAGTCCTGAAGATGCATTCTCACGCATTTGCTAAGCCTTGCCACTTTTTCCTCACGGTTTGCGAGTACTTGTTTATACTAATGCGAGAGAAACTAGACTCAACCAATAACTAAAAATTAGTTACTGAGCTGCTCGGTTTAAAATATTCTGGAATAATAATACCACGCAACATTGCAAAACATCACGACGCATTATCTGGGACAGAATGAAATAAATACGCTAAAGAGTATTTTCCGATATTCACTCTTACAAAATTCTAACATCTCATGACACAAAAACAACGAGATTGTATAACGTCCCCACAGCGTTTTTTAGAACTAGCAAAAAAGAGGCGGAGAAAGTCTGCCAAACAAAGTGGCGAGCGAAGTCGGGGGAGGGGCGCCCGAGGAGAAGGGGCGGAGAGAGGCGACACGGAGGCGGTGAGATCACCCTCAGCCACCAGCATGGAATTCAGAAAGTTAAGTGTCACCCAGCAATTTCGGTCGGGGCTGGCGGCGCTCGGGCGCAGCGCGGTGGCGGCGGCACCCGGCTCGGCAGCGGGAAGGGGGAGGGGCGGTAGGGCTGACTTCGCTCGGGGCAGCCCAGGGCAGGGCCACCCGCCTCGGGACGCCGCAGGTTCGAGCCCCGGATCGGGAGCGCAGAGCGCTGCCCTGCGATGATTTCATCTTTTCGGAGGAGCGGCCCTGCGGTGGCCACGTGCCTGGCCCGGCCGGGTGCGCTGCTCCGGGGACCCTGACCCCGACGCAGTCGTGGTGGCCGCGGGAGAGGGACTCAGAGAACTGGGCTGCGGGGTGGCTTCGGAGACTGCCACCTCCGCTCCAGCGCACCCCCAGCCGCATCCCCGCCACGGGAAAGGCCAGAGTGCGCGGCAGGGTCGCAACTCCAAGGGGGATGCAGGCGGTGGCCACGCGGGATGCAGCAGCCTCGCGTCCCCCCGGCCCCGCGGAGCCCCCTTCCCGACCTGCGCACCGCGCGCTCCCGGCCGCGTGGCCGTGGCTGTCCGGCCCCCGCCCGCCCGCGCCACCCGCGTAGGGGACAGTGGCGGCCGCGGGCCCGGGCACCGCGCCGATCGCAGCCCTCCGGTCCTTCCTTCCGCGCCCCGGGCCCCAGGCGCCTCCTCCCCCGGCCGCGGGGAAATGCTTGTACCTTCCACTGCTTCCTCCACCATCTCGTCGTCGCTATCCATGGCGGCGGGGGACCCCGGCCAGCTCCGGGCCGCGCGGCTGCCTCCCGTCCCTCGGGGTGCTCCCGGCGGCAAGCGAGCGCTGGGGCTGAGCCCGGCGAGTTTGGAGGAGGAGGAGGAAGAGGAGGAGCAGCCGGGGCTTGGCAGGCGCTGCCTCCCCTCCAGCCCTTGCAATTCCGCGGCCTTCAGCGGCTGCCGCACCGCCCGCTCCGCGCGCCCACCTGGCCCTCGCCCCCGAGCCGCCGGGTGTCGCCGCGGCCGCCGCAACTTTCTCCTCCGATGTCCCCTCTTTGTTATCGCGCGGCGGATCCGCTGACATCACCCAGCGCCCGGGCGCTCCCTGCCTCGCTGATTGACAGTTCCCTGTCCCTTCCCAGAAGTGAGGCTCCCGAAGCCAGAGACGCTCCGGGGCCGCGCCGACTGCGGCCCAGCCGAGCCGTGCGCAGGCCCGGCCGCGATCGGCTGCGGCTCGGCGCGCTCCCCGCTCGCCACGCGGTCCTGGCCGCCGCGCGCTTCTCGCCGCCACTCGGGATCGCGGGGTACCCGCCCTCCCGCCTCGGAGAGCCCGATGCCCCCCCAACCCCCACCCCCGTGCCAGCGACGACCTGGAAGTGCGCCGTGCAGGGTCCCCCACCCCCAGCCTCCAAAGCGCGGGGTTGCCTTTCTGCCGCTCCGGCGCCCCGACTTCCTCTCGCCTCCTTCCCGCCCCCACTTCACCCGCTTGTCACCCTAGCTGCACAAGGGCGGCACGCACAGGACTGCAGGTGCCCTCCGGCCCCCCGGCACACGTCTGCGAGCCCGTGTCCGACACTCGAGGGGGTGTCACCCGCCCCGACTCCGGTCCCACCGCAGAGCCCCCGGTCTCCGCCCTCCTTCGCATCTCCAGGCCGATGGTGATTCTGAAATTCAGCAGATCCAAATGGCAGCAGGCTTTGAGGCAGGCAGCAAACTAGGCGCGCCGAAGGCTTGGCAGGTTGCTCCCGCGCTGGGGCCATGGAGAAAGAGCCACCGTGTGGCGCTCGGAAGGACCCTCTCTGCGCCTCGTTCTCGCGCCCTGCGCCCTGTAGGTGTTATGTCCCCAGCTGGCTGTTTCTCCAAGTGCCAACCACTTGACAGATTCCAGCGTTCGAGTGGAGAAAACCATTGGGCACCTGGTTCCCGGAGTAGCCACTTACACGGTGTCATTATGGCGCTACCTCCTCCAGGTGCCAGCGCAGGGCGGCTGTTATATGCACAAGTGCCGGGGAGCATCTGTCAAGAACAGCCAGGGCCCGGGAGGCGGGCAGTGGGAGACACAGAAAGTTGTTCCATTTTGTTTTCCAAACCACGAATGAAACTGTAAGGATTTCAGATCCTTCAACACACTTAAAAAAAAAAAAAAAAAAAACAACCAAAAAAACCATGCTGAAATGCCAGGTTTTAAAAATTATTATTTTAAATCGAGTACTGCTGCTTTTTTTTTAAAATTCAGTTTTTCCTCTGTGAAAAAGAGAACACTAGGTACAACAGCCCTTACACTGCCTGGAATTTCAGCTGCTTTTGATGCTTTAGAGAGACAAGAGAGGGTCCTGGATCAGGAGATAAGAGATTTGGGTCAGAGGTGTCACTCACCTGCAAAAATACCCTGAGAGGCCACCCTGGCCACCCTGAATTCTTCCTCCTGGACATTAGAGGTTTAGGCTACACTGTAAAAACTTCCTCTGGTTTAGGTTTGATTACTCTGAGGACCTTTAGTTGAGGCTAGACCACTCTGGGGTCCTCTGGCTGAGGCTAGCTCATTTTGCGGTCCTCCCAGCTTAGTTAGACCCGAGACCTTCTTGCTTAGGTTCCACCACCTTAATGTCCTTCTTTTGATAACTGGGTCTTCCTGCAGTGGAAGGTTGGAAGAGCCACTGGAGATCACATCATTCAAACACAACCACAGAATCAAGATTTGATTCAGATTTTTAAAAGCCATTACGCACTAATATGCATTATTCTCCAGCTTTGAGTTACAGGATATTTTATTCCTTTCCTTTTTAACACATCACCACTTTCCTTACATATTACACTGGTGTGCAAAACACACCAGACACTCACCTTCCCCAACTTCCAGCTCACTTTCAGGGGGCAAAAAAGATGCTTAATAAAAAAGATGCTAAAAGCTAAAGGAAAAAATAAAAACAACTTATTCCTTTAGTCAAAGAGTGACGGCATGGGGAGTGTTGTTGGGAAGAAAACTCCCCTTGGAACACACCTGCATCAGGCTTGGCTCGTGATATAGGTGGGTGATATATGTGTGTTCTGTTCCTATCTTTAGGCTCAGAGGAGGACGACCAACTGCCCCCTTGGTGCAGCCTGTACTGTGCCACCCAGTTTCATCAAGTGCCTTGCCATCTGCTATTTTAGGACACCTAGGACCTGGTACACAGACCCCACAGGCAAACTGGGCCTCTTCTGCACCTGGAGGGGCTGGGTGGGAAGACACCAGTGCCCCCTGCCAGGAGAGGAAGCATCTGAGAACTTTCACAGGCTCTGTCTGCCAAGTGGGCAGCAGCAGCTGGACAGTCCATCTGTCCTCCCTCACGGCTCATTGCTCCTGTCTCTGGGCCCAAAGTTTAGGCAAAACATTTGATGGCTTGTAGGAGACTGAGTCAGTGGAAGTAGGTCTTGACATGAGTGAGGCTACATCAAGGGCCTCTTGGCTGATAGGCACAGACCCAGCCAAGGGGAGGCAAGGTTCAGCAAGGCTGCCTTGCAAGGAAAACAGGACATGACATGCTGACCTGGGCAGGATAGTCTGTACTAAATAAAAACATACCACAGCTTTTCTGTTCCTGCCACCTACACGACTGGACCCATGAGAACTCGACTTGCATTTCACCCCACTTTCCATACATGCTGTATAAATAAATGCACTTGGAGGTGGAGGGGATCACTGGCATCTCTCATCAGGAATGTAGGACCCACCCAACCCCAGCTTTTCTCTATGTCTGTCTTTGTGTCTTTTTCTTAATCCCCAGTTGCCTCCAGTCAGGTCAACAGACCTATTCATGCTGGCTGTGAGAGTGACTCCCTTAAAACACACTTGCATCTTTATGAGTCATTTTGTGTGTGTTCTGAGTCATCTCTAGATGGACAGATTTTTATCTGTAGTCCCAGAACCCAGCGTGGTGTTAGGTACCAAACGTGGGACAAGCATTGTTAGTGATGGTTTTGCACATAGCCATACTCTGTTTTGTATAAGCAGTGGGGACGGAAGCCTTTCTCACGGGCTGCATCCTCTTCCTGTGCTTGGCAAAGCCCTTGTCTCGGCCCCAGTCTATAAGCCTTTTCTATTGCCCCCAAGTTATGCCCGTCACATTCTTTCCCACAGCAGTCTTCATCAAGAGCTCATTTCAGAAATGCTTTTTCCACTTGGCTTCCCACTACTTCCTCTGTCGCACTCTGTCCCTACCAATGTGGCCATGGTCTAGAAAATCTACAAGGCTATTCACTGCAGATAGTGTGCAGCAGTAGGCAGCTGGTTGGTAGCAGCAACAAGGCTCAGGTCCTAACTGGCAAATTGCACAAGAAAAGGCTGCCCAGGCCAGTGAAGGATGCGCTGGGGTTGGGACTTGCTTTCTCTCAGGAAGGAGGGACTCTTGCAAGGTTCTCTGGTGATGCTTATGTCTCATCTCCTCATACTCAGTTCATAGGAAACCCAGATCCCTCTTCTACTGAAGCAAGCAATTGCATACTGAGCTCAGGTCATTCATTTTACCATCTACTTCTTTTTCCAGAGAACTTGCAAGAGTCATCTACTTGCAAGACTGATGGAACTAACTTTTGCACGGTGCTGGCGGCTCACACCTGTAATCCTAGCTACTTGGGAGGCCGAGATAGGGAGGATGGAAGTTTGAGGCCAGCTCATGCAAATAGTTCTTGAGACCCCATCTCCAAACTAACCAGAGCAAAATGAACTGGAGGTGTGGCTCAAATAGTGGAGCACCTGCCTTGCAAATTTGAAGCCCTGAGTTCAAACCCCAGTCCCACTAAAAAGAAAAGACATAACAACTAATTTTTGCAGTAAGTACATTTTTACAAGCTTCTGTTTCCCGTACTTCCTACATTCAGGGAAAACAGGCTGTCAATCGCTACTGCAGATGCTAAGCACACCAGGAAACCTGGTGAATGTGGACTCACTTGTGTTGACTGATACCAACTCCTCCTCTTCTCAAACAGTCCCCAAGTCTTCTGGGAGACTTGGTGTCAGGGATCATCTGCAGGCCTTGCCAGGTGCACCTGGAATTGGTCTCCTGGCACTAGTTCTTCTATTTGCTCAATCTGCCAGCAAGAAGAAAGGACAAAATAAGTCAAAAAACAAAAACAAAAACAAACAAAAAACCCTCTTAAAATACTCATCCAGTCCCATTTTTAGGCACTGCTTACTTCTTAACAAAGGGAAAACAAAGTTGTTTTTCCCCCCAGTTCGATGGTTTGATTGAATTTTCAATCTTCAATATTTTGGTTCAGCCCAAAACTCACTGAGCAATGGTGCCTTTGAGCTCTCAGGCCTCAGTCTTCCCACCTGTACATGGGGAGGCTGGGCTCTATCACTTCCCAGCTCAAGCCTTCTCTGGGCTGCTTTCTTGGGAAAAGCTGAGTAGAGCAGAAAGCCCAGGTACAGCAAAGGAAAGAGAAAGAAGCCAGGGAAACTGTCAAACTGAGTGGTCAAGTTGTGAGTCTTCCCTGTCTTCCCTTCACAATGACATTGAGACAGGGGGCCATGGAGGCCATTGACCTTGGCCATAGGGAGGGAGCCACCAGCCTTGCAGGAGAACCTTGGTTCTTGCCTCCTGAATCACTGAGTCACTAATCTAGTGGCTGCAGGTGTTAGAAGCTGGAGGCAGGGGTAGGGAAAGGAGCAGGCGGGAGGAGGGCAAAGGGAAGGAGGCTGTGTGATGCCTTCCGGCCTGTGGACCCGGGAGGAGCCGGAACGAGGAAGGCGTCACACGAAGGTGGAAAGGTGGGTTGGGGAGCAAATGCATCCTGCTGGAGGCGGCCTTGACTGAGGTGGGAAGAGGACTCATGAATCCAGGATGAGCTGGGAGTGCAGGGGAGAGAGAGCAGAATAACCTGGCCCGGGAAGTGAATTCAGCACTGGAGTTGCCAGTTGCCATGGCATTAAAATGTCTGGCGCCACGCTGTGCCTCTCTTTCCTCCTTCGCTTGATTTTGGTTCTTGCAACACGCTCATGTCACTGAAGCAAAATCCAGTAGACTAAATTTAGATTCTCTGG